CTATTTTAATTTCCCAGGAGAAATAACTCAATATTTTCTAGTTTCATAGTCTGACATACAGCAGTAATGAAGGGGGAAATGACAGAAATTTCCTGGAATAGTTATTCATTAAAGAATTTGTTTTAGTCATGCAATAGTAAAGTGTAACTGATTATTTCTTCTTGCCCTACACCTTTGGCATCGAATAGTCTGGCTTATAGCTTCACTGACAATACAGGGAAGCTATCTGTGGACGTACTGCCAAAAGATTCCGTCCATATACATTGAATCCTGCAGAACGGTGATTTCATATCAGGAGCTCAAGAGACTGAGTCTATTAGCTGCTGGTGAAGGTTTTCCTGGGAGCGAGGATATGAGTGCAAGGCTCCAGCAATAATGCTACCTTAGGATTGTTCCAGAGAGCTGTGCTGATGCATATGAAAGGATGGGGTTTAGTGCTAGTCCGTAGGCTTGTTTCCTCTGGTGCCTTAGAGGAGTCTCATCTGGCTGTGCCTTGGGATCCAGCAGCTCCTCAGATGTAGGGAGAGATGTCCCTTGTCAGGACCTTGGTGCACCACTGAGTGGTTTCCTGGAGCATGGCAAGAAGTCATCCCCGGCAAGGGAGGTTTGTGTGCTGCACCCTCATTTGTTTAAGGTTGCAAACGAAGAAATGACATCGGCCCAAAGCTCTAGGCTTCCTCCCACACTGGTTAATTATACAGAGAGATCCCAGCAACGTTGCAGCAATCATGATCGCTGTGACCTCGGCGGTATTGAGCTAATGATTCCACCGGGGACTCGGCCACTCTGAATAACGCCTGCAGGCACTCATTTCCACTCCCTCGCTGTTTGGAGATGTATGCTTGCAGTGTTCTCCCTGGTTCTTGCTGAAGCTGTGGGTTTTTTGGTGCAGTGGAAGTTCACCATTTTGATGTTCAGTTTGGGTTATCTTGGGCCAGGATCAAATTCCAGAGTCAGACAAATGCCATGCAGGCACTGACCCAGCTCCGGTTCCCCTTCCGACAGCAACGGTGACGCAGGAACGGGCCAGGACAACTGGGGCTCTCTGGGTCACGAGCAATGTCTCGTATCCCGCATGGAGACCAGCAGGCAGCCAGAGCAGATTGCAAAGCCCTGATATTGCTCTCCTGCCTTCTGTGCCCACTTGTCCGTAGGCAGAAGGACCCTTGGACAGTGAGTCCTGGCTGGGGTAGCCAGCTCTGCCAGGGCCTTGCCTTCATTTGTGAGCTGGTTTCCAAATTTTTCCTGCAAAGATGAAGGCAGGCCTGGTTTTCTCTCCAGGAGCTGATCTGAGATGTCCTGCTGGCTGCAAGCCCTGGCACCCAGCGGGAAGCAGGGTATCGCTGCTGGCTCTGCCAGGGTCCAGCTACCTGGTGCCTATTACAGATGCATATGGGCTGCTGGGGGCAGGTGGGGACAAGAGTTGAACAGGGACAGGTCCCGTGGTGGAGAGAGAGAAAAAATACTGAAGCGGACTTGATATAGCACAAGGCAGTTCCGTGGCAAGAGGCGGTGTCCCCTGAGAACAGGCTAAGTGTGGGCGTTGTTATCCCAAACCAGGTTAATCCAAAGCCGCAAAGACCAGAAGGGATTCCTCCGAGGGGCAGCTCTTGGTGTCAAGCTCTGTGTCTGCAGAGAGCCCGGGGCATGTACAGAGGCTGCTCTCTGGACTACCAGGTAGCATGTAGCCACGGACTCCTGGGGCTAGTACACCGCTGGTGTGCTGTGAGCACTATCAAAGGTTTTTGTGTTCCTCTGGGGAGGAGGGATATCCTCATTGCCTGCCTTTGACACAAAACTCGGGCGTCCCGGCTTGGTGGAGAACCTGGGCAGTTCATTTCTGCATTCAAGGGGATGTAGGCTTTGTAGCCTGAGGCTCCCTCTAGATGATCCGAGTTAGATATATAAAGTTTATATAGTGTGAATACTCCCACATCTCTCCTGAACACTTGAGGCCATTCTGGCCTTGAAGATTCGGCCCTTATTCCTTCTGTATGTTGGGACCTTCATGGAGAAACTGGGGCTGATGGTGCCAGAGGAGCTCCTGGAAGGTTTTCGCTGCCCTGGGAGGAGCATTGGAAGTACCGCAGTAGCCTGGATGGACTCTGCAGTGGCTGAAAGCCTCGCTGTGCCTCCGTTTCTGTATGTTGTAAAATGGGGAAGTGGAAATTACTGAAAATTTTTTTTTTTTTGAGGTTCTCTTTCTATTACCTCCTCCCTGCTGTGGTCACAATGTCTCCCTGTGCGTATTCACCGCTGCAGTCGGGATCGTTGCTGTGCGAGTCACGTTAGGGGCTCAGGCAGGCGCAGTATCAGTCTGGCTGGCGGCCAGAGCTTAGCGGGGGAACAGGTAAGTTTGCCATCCTAGTCCTGTTCACCCAAATCTCGGTTGGCAGTGACCAGATCAGAACAGTTGATGTGGTCAGAGCCGTCGTGAGCATCAAGCACGTGCTGTTTCTGAACCATCTCCCACTCTTGTCCTAGCCTTCTGGCTCTGCAGGCTCTCCTAGGTTCCCTGCCCTCTCAAGTCTGTCCCTATCCCTGCCTCCGTGATATATCGCTGTTACTGTGCTCCAGAACAGTGGGGTAAGATCACCGTGTCGGTTATATTTCTGTCACAGATGTGCTGGCCTTGGAGTTCATCGAATCCCAACGTCAGCAAACTCGCTCAGCTAGAAAAGCGCACTGTTGTTAGCAGATACATATTCATCAGGCCAATGGTTCTTTTTAACTTTTCTTCCTTTCCTGCTTAGCTTCATTTTTGCTTATGAATTGTGTTACGCTTGCTTCCATTAACGGGAGATGTATTGCCTCTGTCAACCTCTGAGTAATAACCAAACTGCTCCAAAGTGTCCACAGGGCCAATATATCTGATTGCGGCACATAAAATAGACCAGTGAGTACCATCAGCCTGCGATCCAGCAGAAGCGAGCAGCAAAACAGTGCTTTGTTAGACAGTTGACCTGAAAGACTGATACTGCTGCATTAGGCTCAAAGAAGTTTCTTTTCTGGCCTCGGTGGAAGGAGGGATGCTCGCTGAGTTTCCCAGGAATGATTTGGCTCTGTGAGACCTCATTCTTGTTCGTATCAACTCTGCTTCAGAGCAGCTGGTGTTGCATTGAATGATGACATGGTATAAAAATCTCACTCTGGTTTTTCAGATAGATCCCAAAGTTTTGCAAGAAATAACACAGTCCCAGCAAATGGGATGCTCAGTTTATGGTAGGCATTGTCTGTCTGACAGCCAGCGCAAACCCTAAGGTGCCTGCCCCTGGTAATCCAGCTGTGCACAGCCCTTGTAATGCAGAACTACAGTCGAATCCTGCCATCAGTTTTCCCTCAGCCTCGCTGGTCCTGTCCTGTCTCATTCGATGGGCCGAGGCCAACTGTATGAGGTTCAACAAGGCCAAGTGCCGGGTCCTGCACTTGGGCCACAACAACCCCGTGCA